AACTATCGATTGTCGACTGTATAGGTACGTTTTGATTGCATTACAACGATCAAGCCGTGGGCGGCCGTCTCGATCAAACGATGTTTACCTAACGAACATTGATTCTATCTTTTCAACGAGATGACGTGTTCTCGACAACATAGTCGTTCAGACATTGCACGAAATATATTGGATTCGGGAGGCCAACCCCGCCGAGGACCCGTCTCCAAATTTCCTACCCACCCCACCCCCCTGCGCCACAGCCGGCGCACGACTGCATGCACACAATTTGCTCACGGACCGTTATTGTACAGTATTGCAGGTATATGTTATATGGTAGCAAACTCACTTATCGTACGCCGAAACGCTTGCCGTAACGGTGTCGTCCATCACCGTCGACGGTGTGCTGTAAGGCGACGGCGTGCTGTACGGCGACGGCGTGCTGTACGGCGACGGCGTGCTGTACGGCGACGGCGTGCCGTACGGCGTCGTCCGCTGTGGGTGTTCGGGGCAGCCGTCGCGTTCAGTGTCCGTGGCCGCGGTCGCGCGTTCGTAGTGACGGCCGGCCCAGCCGTCGGTCGCAGCCGACGGATAGGGCTCGGCGGCTGCGGTCGTGCGTTCGCAGTAGTGATGGCCGGGCCAGGCGTTGGCCGCGGCCGACGGATAGGGCTCGGTGACCGTGGCCTGGTGGCCGCAGTGACAGCGGTGTTGCGACAGTCTCTGCTGTCGGGCCGGCAGTTCGGACGGGACCTCTGGCGGTCCGTCGGCGGCCATCAGAACGGGAGCGGCGACGGCGGTGCGCGGCCACGCGAACAACGCCAAACACACGACGACCGTCGCGCGTCGCACAACCGCTTTGTCGCGGTCAGTAGGCATGCCGCCGTGCGTCTGCGCGAGGAACGAGCGACCCTTGTCAGACGACTTCAACGATTCTATTATTACACAACTGTGATCGCGAAAAAATATGACACGAATACAATTATTCATTTACCACGATATGATCTTGTGCGGAACGACAACGGTTTAACGATTTAATATGTCGGATATGCAAGTCGATCGGTGCTGTTGGTTTTATAAACTGTGTTATGCGCGACCTGAGCATCGCCTTGGCGACCGGACGACGCGAGATTTTGTAGCTAGTTATACGTGCGAATTAATATCACTGTGTTTTTTATTTATTTATTTATTTATTGTTTTGTATTAGCGAGCGCGTATAGCTCTTATGCCATGATATTACAATATAATATTAATGTCATGACATAAGAGCATATAATATTATTACGTTTATTGCTTGTAACAATATCTCCCTTGAGTGGTGTATACCGTATACCCGGGATAATAGTATACCCATCACGATTCGGCCGAATCTACGAGATGCCAACAGTGTAAGGAAACCAACCGCCAAATCCAAAACCGCTCGCGATTGACTTATCATTCATTTCAACATGACTAATTTGCGCATATTGAAAGACAAAACAAATTTTATTTGATCTAGATTTAGTAAGTCGAGAGGTAAAAATGAAAAATGTAATTCTAAACTCTCTATGGGTAAATATACACTATACTTACAGGGTTTAGAGTTGTATTTTTTATTTTTTTTTTTTCTTTGAAGTCAGTTAGAAGATGTTGAAAAGTCATGATAAAATTTTATAGATAATTATACAATTCATTATTTATTACTTCGACAAAATAAATAAACAATTTTATGAAAATCTCTTAGGCTTAAATTTTTTATTCATAAAAAATAAGACCATATCGTAAATAAAAAATAAGGTCATAATTAAAAATAGCCTCTTTATTTCTTTCTGACTCAAAGATCAAAGACTAATAATATTTACTGCAATACAGTACATTGAATCCCATTGAACAACCAATGTTGAACTCTAAATACTCCGAATGGTATACTTATTCACAGGGTTATAACTGTTGATCCTCGATTATATATTTACAGACTAATTTAATGTAACTATTTATGTTTTATAGTAATTAGTACTATATAGAATTTGAATTAAACATTGTCAATAATTGTTTTATACACAAAAAAAAAAAAATTATAAATTCAAATATTAATTAGTTGAAAACGGGCATTTTGATTAGGTTTTTTAATAATTAATAAGGTAATTATTTTAAGAATATGATTCAGTATGACTCCAGGGCTGTGTTAACCCAGCTGCAAAAGGAGCATTTGATCCAGGTCTTTTTAGTTTATTACTAATGACTTTTTCGACATCTTTTTATCTAAAGAAGTGGTAATACTAGGTTTCTTTCTTTTTTTTTTTTAATTTTAATCCATATTCACAACAATAACAAGGAATATGATATCTAATTTATAAACTTAGAAAAATGTATATTCTATAAATACATATATATATAATATTCATTAAACCGTAGTGCCCAAACGGGCCAAACGTGTTGTAGGCATTGTGTAACAGTTTGATCCCGTACACGTATATGACCGACATTTTATGAATACTTAACTGTCCGTTATATTTAGCACATCGACAAAAGATAAAAAATATAATATATTATCTTTAGTTATATGTATGAAACGTAGACATCAAAACAAACTATTTAACTACTATATTCTCCAGAAGAAAGGCCCTCTATGCATTTTTATTAGCAAATACAAATATTAATGAATACTAATTCTATTCAAATGTTTTAATTCATATCGATTTGGACTTGAACATAAATAATGAGCGCCACCCCTCTAGAATATTAAGCACTCATGAAATCCAAACGTTTCAATCCTTAACTATCAGGGTTACATACAACGCATCTCCTTCCATCTTGCGCTTAAAATCATATACCCACTTCATTTTGAACTCCATATTAACTTAATTTCCAAATATGTTCCCTTATCCAACAGGAAGTTGTGTAATCAATTTGGAAGTTCCCATAAAAATTCAAAATCAATTTATTAAAAATCTCGATTCAACAATAATATCCCTGAAATCCTCTCGGCCTTTAGAATGTAACTGCAGATGTGGATAACTTGTTTTTTCGACAGTATCTAATAACAAAAATTAATACATTTCCATACAAACAATAAACTTGACAATTTTGATCGGGATTCGAATATTATAATTATTGTGATTTATTGTTTTTTTGATGGTTTAACCATTGAAGACGATATACAATACTCCTAATAGATTTTATGAAAAAATATGATTATAATGATTAATGAATAACCAATATGTTCTTTTTAAATGTGTGCTAAATGCTAATATGATTGAAATCTTTATATAAACATAAATATTAATCACATATAACTAGTAATTAAGTTATCTCTTAACAGAGAAATTATCATTTAGCTTAGCTCTAAGATGTTGGAATATTGCAGTTATATTTTAATTTTATTCGAATTCGGGTAAATCGTAAATTTTCTAATTTATTTAGACAACTCTCACCACATAATAGTTTTCGAAGACCGTAAGTATAAAAAATATGATAACGTCATTTTCACTACCGAGAATCAATGACGTGAACCAATAGATGGCGCCTTTTGATCGCAATTTTTCGGTTCGTTCCTATTCACAGCAAATCATCGCACTTCTTTTTGCGGTACCTATTTTATAAATTTAATATTACTATAAGCTTATGAATTTATGATATACGCATTTCTCCATATATTTTAATAATTAATTATGTAATCACGGTACTTAAACCATGCGCACTACGAGTTTATAAAATGTATTAAAATTATATAATAGATAAGCACTTTTCACTGCAGGTATTGAGGATCTAACCATAACAACATACTTCATCGCTGGAAAAGTGCTGTTTCCGCGAGCTTTTTGTCTACATTTTCGTTTTCAACGCATTAGCGCTTTATTTGTCGTCTACGGTCATCGCAGTCTGATCAAAGCTGATATTTTTTCGGTTTTAACGTCATCGTTTTATTTTCTAAGCAAAACCTGAAAGGCAACCATAGTTTACAGGACATATATATACTGCAGTTGTATCGTTATACTTCCACTGTTTATACTTTATTTATATCTATGTACAGATTAGACTACCAAGGAAAACGAAAATGACAACTAGGATGGAGAGAGCCACGTGTATGGTAAAAAATAAATGAAAAACCAACTCCGACATTTAATAATATAATATTGTATATATATAGTATACGATTTATTTTTATTTTTCGTCAATAATAATAATAATAATAGTAATAATAATATTATGCATACATACGATCCGTTCAGACAACGATAGATACATGTTATATTATATATATGCGTACACATAATAATATTCAAGTTCTGCTTACAAAAAACATTTATTTATAATATTAAAATATTATACTATTACAATACAAAGGAAAGACAACGGTAGCAAGACGCAGTGTGCACACACGCCGGAAACCGGCGAGGCGCACATTTATATGCCGCGAAGTATATTATGTTATATATATAAAGTACTATAGATAATATTATAATATAAAAAAAAAATTAGCTCTAAAACTATAAATCATTATACGGAACTAAAATGTGTTAATATACAATAATACACGAGGGAGAAAAATACCAAAGACCGCGGGGAGAGAAGTCTATATATTATTATTATATTATAACAATGGAGTTGGCAGAAAGGTACAACGCGTTTGCGTGTACCTATTGCTATGTACTTACAACAAAAATATACCGATGACATGATATCATAAATACTTGGCAGTGTTCATGTTTTTGTTTTTGTTTTTTTTTTTCACCATTATTGTATTATTGTAAATACGAAAAATATATATATATAATAACGTATAATGAATTGATATACACACATATAATTTTGCAACGATTGTTCGACGACCAATTGATTTTTTTTCTTTAAAATTTAAAATAAATATCTCCAAGTGTTTGAATAAAAATTAATCGTGTATTTACATAATATATGTTATATGTTATAATATAATCATGATAAAATAAATATTTAAAAAATCTATTTCTACAGTAATAAAAATTTGTAATCACAAAACGCTTATAATCAATAGTCTTCCAATAATTACATACTTATATGTATTAAGTTTTTACAATTTTTTTTTTCAATCATGAACATCAAGATAATCTCTTGCAACGCAAGTAGGTACATTTCATAATAATATTTTTTTAATTTTTATTTAGTGAACAGAAGAGAGAGATGACCATATTAACAATATTCAACATCAACATCATTAAATCTAAAGTGTAATAATATTATCTACTAATTAATACTAATATTAAACTAATAGCTAAGAACACTATCTACTTAAGTACTACGAAAAAGAGATCAACCTATTAATAATAATAATAATTTAAAAAAACCTTATCAATACAATTAATAATTTACAAAGTACATAATATATATAAATTACGATTCTTTATGAGGAACCGTAGAAAACACAAGAAATGCCATAGATTTATTAGATAAATATATAATTCAATAGATAAAAAAAAAATAATGGCATTATCACAGAAACGCTTTGATGGGCGAAACGAGGATCGTCGCCGGGAGGAAATTCGCAAAGAATGGTTTAAGCTCGAAGCACGTGAAAAGCCCCAACGACGTCCAAGTTTTATTTAACACCACAGAAATGCTTTTCAAAATAATAAAAAATGTAAAAAATAAGAAAATCAAAAAATACATTCTATACATATCATATATTTATAATATATATAGGAAGTTAATATCTCGCTGCATGCAACAAGCTTATGATAATATGTTAAGATTAATTTATTTACAAAGCGATCATAATATCGGTATTTTATTTAATGATTTCTCGACGCACAAAGTATGAATTATATTGTAATGTATAGTCGTCGTTTTTATTTTGATGTATACATATATTAGAACTGGATCTCAGCGTTCGGTAATGTAATATACCAGCTGGTATACTATACCACGTCGTATTATGACCTATACAATAATTATTATTAGTAAAACGAATAGAAACAAGAGAAAAACGTCCACAGAGAATTCGATTTTTTTCTTTAGCTGTGTAATAATAGAATTTACGGCGTCCGTAGCGAACGGACGAAATTCGAAAAATAAATTAATAATAATTATGACGCAGCGCGAGTGTGTGTGTGTGTACAAATAAAAAGATAAAAACGCTTATTTACAGTGAGCAAAAAATATAAAAATTAATACAATATAGCAGTTCGTACTAATTCAAAACCGTGGGAGCTAGAGGAAATCTCACCACCACGGTAATGCCGTTCTGAAGCTATAGTTTTATAAAAACGAGATCAAAATGTGAATAGGTCTGGGACTGAAACCGCAGAATTCCCATGTGAAACGACATTAAAATACAACAGATGAAGCATAGAAATAGAGATTAATATTACAAAAAAAAAAAAAAAATTAAAAAAATAGGTACATACTTATACGATAATGTTAATATTAAGCAAAATAATAATAATAATAATAATAATAATCGACATGAAACTCGTACGTATAATTAGCAGCAGCAACTGCAAATGAGTTCATCTACACGCGCGTTCAAGTCGACGATTATATTGGATAATAGTATAAATAATAATAGTTTATTATAATATAGTATAAGTTAATACTACATTTGGCTACGGTTACGAACATCTCACATTTTAGTAAATTGAGATCAACGGTCAATTTGATTAACATTAAAATTAAAATTTGTTTTAGTCACTAAAACCGTGACTGGAACCTGGTTTTGGAGTCTTTTCTATATAGGTGTGGAAAAAAATTGTATTTTTCGCTATCTCTCTCTCTCTAATTCTAAAAACAAAACTATATTATTGTTTGATGAACATTTTCCAGCCGATGATTACGAACATGGCGGTGAGTACGGACGATTCAATTTTCGATGGATGAAGCAGCGACATGATTCGCCGTTTTACTTTTGTACTCTGATTCTCGACAATTAACAATTCTTCGTCCTGTAACACACACAATCGCAAACTTTTATAGATAAACCGGTCGTATACATAGGTGTGATTGAAAAACAAAAAATACGCTTTTATACTTATAATAATATATGTTTATGTCGGTATATAGGTACCTAGTATGATTTAAACGTTTAAAACGTATAGACGGCAAATGTTTTGTTTTTCAATAGTTGTGGTTTTTAAAAAAGAAAATCAAGCATGCGCGCATTATTATAATAGATAACAGCTCGAACGAGTCGACGAAAAAAGCGATTTTTTTAAAATATAACACTTATATTTAAAAAAAATATTCAAGACTGTATAGAGAGTTAAAACAATTTATCGTTTTATCGCGTATTACATAATTGCATTATATGTGTAATAGCTAGTATATACATATTGACGAAAAAAAATTGAAATGGCCTACGTCGCAAGAGGTTAAGAAATTGGAAAACTCGCGGTCGGGGCAAAAGAGTATATAGGTTAGGTTAGGTAACCTAACCTAACCTAACCTAACCTAAGCTTATCATATTATATATAGGTAGATATAGCTGGTACTCACGTCGCGGTTGGTGTTCCAGCGGATCGGCTTGCCGTTCTCGTCCAACTTGGCGATGGCGATCACCTTCAGCTTGCGCTCTTTGCCGTAATAGCAAGTCGGACACAAGGCCACCTGCAGCTTGACGGCGCCCAAAAATTTGTCGTCGTCGACCGCGGACTGTCGCTGTACCGATTGCTGCGGCGGCGGAGGTGGCGGCGGCGGTTGACGCGACGTCGGTCCGCATGACGACACCAAGTCGGGCAACAACAGTTGTTGCTGTTGATCGCTCTGTTGCTGCCGCTCGAGTTCTTGTTGTTGCTCGCGTCGCTCCTGTTGGCGTTCACGTAAACGTCGGCGGTGGAACAAGCGCATCGAATGCTGCTGTTGCTGTACCCAAAGACGATTACTCTCTTCTGCCGAATACGGCGACGGAGTCTGAGTAGATATGTTGATGTTAGTGTACGGATAGTTATGTTGATCACCTGTGAGACGTAAAAAAATTATAATTAGGTATAAACCGATATTGAAAAATCAAACATTTCGCGCGCGATGGTCATATATATAATATATGTGTAGAATTAATAAACTATAACGGCGAAATGAATTTGAGACTCGACTTATCATCAGTTACAGACGTTACAGTTTATTAAAATCATATTAGCGTCGTATTTGCATATCGATAAATGTGCAGTAGTATTTATAAATATTTAATCTATGGCTAGTTGATATTCTCGAGTTTAAATTAAGTACCTACTATTTCTTTAAATTTATGCAATAGATTTAATGGACTTTAATCGATCACGCGCCAATATTTCGTTTTATACATAATAGGTAAAATTTTCTACTAAATCCACTACGATGACGGTAATTATAACAACAATAATAAATTGTAAGACTTTAAGGAAAAAACAATACAGGACCGCGCGTGGGCGATCGGCGGTTTTGTCCTTGGAGACACTTGTTGGCAAATTATCGTCTTTTGTCGCGTGAACTAACAATAGAGGCCTCCGAATTTCGCAAAGAATATAATAGACTCCAAACGATATTTATTTTATACTATTTTACTGTTTTTACCTCTTAGGAAAAAATCACGACGGTTGAAATAGTTTGTAAGTGTCTAAAGTAGTCGTGTGTCACCACCGGACCGAGTCGAATATTGAAAGAGGTTTTATTTTTTTTTTTTCCCCATTAAATAAATATAAATAGATAATGCACGCAGATGACGTATTATTCGGACACGCGCACGTAAACAAAAGAACAACGATTCGGTTTTAAATTGTCGCGCAATCGTTTACTTAATAAAATATAATATAAACATAGAAGTTCAAACAATATAATTGTAATTAATTGTATAAAATTATATTCATGAAACGTGCGCAAAATGTTTTACAAAAAATTAATTAGTTTATTTAATTAATAATGAAAACAGCTCACCAATTTTAGCTGGTTAGCGAAAAAAATGTCAATAAAACGATAAATGTATAGATTAATACTAATATTATATTACATGAAATGATATAATTTTTTTTTCAAATGCGCGGCCAATTGTTTTACTGAATCGCGCGAATACTTATTTAATATAATATTTTGGCGGAAAAACAAAATTTCTTTTTTGCGAAAATTTTTTTTTCAATATTTTTTTTTTTTTTATGAAAAACGGGGAATATCTTAGGTACTTAAATATTATTTTTAGTACGATGTTTTGCGAAAAAAAAAATAGAAAAAATAAGATAAAAAAATAGTTCAAGACTTACAGATATTATTGGGTCGTTCACACGTGCTGCATCTTTTATTATATTATTATCATCACAGACTCTATTATATTCATATGAAATATTATTCCGGTAAGCGCGTGTACAGAATTGTATCGTGGTGTATCGGAGTATCGGACGCGTTCGCCTACCTGCGGTAGAGATGTCGGGTGGGTGACCTTATATTACATAGGTACGACGGCGACGCGACAGGTCCAAACAAGTCAAACGTCGCTTGTTATTAACCGGCCAATAAAATAATATATTTTTTTTCTATTTAATTTTCGGTTTTTAATTTTTTTTAACAAATTTCTATAATATTTTATAAAGTCGTTTATTTATACAATATATTTAATAATAAATATTTCTATATGGTATTGACATTATCAAAATATTATATTAAATTATAAAAAATTTCATACTCCCTAGTGTTCTTGAATAAAAATGATGTACCGGAATACTATTTGTGAAAGTATATAATGTACCTACGCTGATATTATTATTGTCAAATCGCTAACATATTTTTCCTGATTTCATAAAAATACGCGGCAACCGCGACGGTTTGCGCAATATTTTTTTTTTTTTTTTTAACACGTGGATATTATTTGTGTAATACAATTTTTATCCTGAAACTTTGCAATAAAATTTTTTTCACAATTTAATATAATTACGTATATTAATTTTTTATTAAAAATAATTTTTATTCAAAATTTAATTTTAACTAATATTTTTTACGGCATTTTTTTTAACTTTTTTTTTTACAGCCAATTTATACTATACGAAAAAATAAAATTAAACTATTTATAAAATTATATTTAGGGGTACCTACTAGGGCTAAATAATAAAATATAAGTATGAATTAATATAATAAAAACTTACCGATCATCCAAGAGGGCATTCGCCTGAGCAATGTCAACAATTCTTTGAGCAGATTTTGAATTTGCAAATAATGATCCCTCGCTGTGTCGGGATTGGGCGACGGCGGATCGAACGGTATGGCCATGTCTGATCCGGTTTTTTTCTTCTTTTTTTCTGGAGACGAATCGCAATGTTTCGGATCTTAAGTCTTATTAATTTTTCAATTTTAATTTTTTTTTTAATTTTTTTTTTTTTTTTATCTCATCGAAAAAGTTTTTGACGAGATCAAAATGCGAACACAAAAATTTTATTCACAAAACAAATCGCAGAAAACGCGAAAACGCACTGTACGAAAAATAATAATATAGTCGTATCAAAAAAAAATAAACGATGGCCGCGAATAATAAAAAAAAAAAAATCAGTTAGTACAATAATATGATGTCCGCGGCGGCGTTGCACGCGAAGAAGAGTGCTCGGAGAGCAGTTCCGATTCACTCTACACCCGGAAGAGTTGCGTGTAGTCCAACGACTGAAGAGTGTTCGCCGGTCGGACGGACCCTTTCGCTCGGGTCCGAATCGCGGCGGCGGCCGTGTATGCGCGTGCGCGCGTCCGGCGACGGCGATCGACGGTGTACGACGGGTACCGGCCGGCGAGGAGGCGCGCGCGTGCTGCGGCAATCGTCCGGACTACGGTGGCGGCGATAGTAGTAATAATTATCCGTCGTGTTCGCTGGCGTCGCGGTACGGCGCACATGCGACGGCAGCGATGTAGGTAGCGATACTGATCGGCCGCCGCCGCCGCCGAGCCGTACGCACGTAGACCCGTCCGGCGGCGGCGCGCGTTTTTCGGCGGGACCAAGATCCCGCGCTTTTTTCGGGCCAATCGCCAGCCGGTTGGGCGGCGGCGGTGGTGCGAGGGCCGCCCCCGCCCCGAAAAACCCTGCACCCCACCAGCCCGCGGGCCCGCAAAACGGTCTCTGTACCTGAGCAGGCGATGGTGGCAGCGGCGGCGACGACGACGTCATTTTCCTATTCTGAAACAAAATAATAATAGGTACAACAATTATTTAATATTATTATGAACGGTGTAACACTTAGGTAAATAAAATATATACTGTCAATTTTTCTCGTAATAACATTAATTACCGTCGTTCCGAACACGTCAGTATAATATCATATAACATTTATGAGAGAACAGGAGAAAGAGAAAACATTTATTGTAAACAATTATTATTTTCGAACTCTTTTATATTAATATAATATAGGTATACGTATAGAGTTTAATCGATTATTTGGTGCACATAATATTATATGGTATTCCACATCTAAATTGGTTTTTGTTGTTCTTTAGCTAGAAATTATCTATATAATATTAGATTTTTTTTTAAGTTTACGTTACAATAATAAAAAGTAGGTACAGATTTTTTTAAATCGATGAACTTGATTATTTCTGTTAAAATAAATGCCGTTACTATACGCGTCGTCGTCGTATCTGCGCCTATTAATTTTTATACAACATAAACGCCACCTATTGTTGTTGCCAAGCTGATGGTGAAGAATACAGACGCATACGACAAACATTTAATAATACCATATATAATATTATTCTAATATCACCAAAAAAAAAAACGTGATTGTACTATTTATCACGCGCATCCATGCGATGCCACACCATATCACGTTTTAAAATGATATGTATATAACACGCATTATAAAACATAAATAAATTAATAAAAATAATGATCCATATATACGTTGGTTATAAAATAAATAAAATGCTAATTCAAACGCTGAGTGATTACATACATATAGATGCTTCTATATATTATAACAACGAGATTTTTTTTTTATTATTTAAAAAAAAAATTTACAATCTGTATGTAACACTAAACGTAAATGTGATAGTAACACAATAAGCAATGTACGTAAAAAATATTACATGAAAAATGAAAATATGACGAAGGAAGTCATCCAATGATAAAATCCTTCAACGCCACTACGTTAGAAACATTCGATTAATTAAATGTTAACATATAGGTAGTAATAGATCTATTAAGAACCTATACTTATAATATAGCTAAAAATATTATATAGATAGCTGGTACATAAGTATATTCTATATTATGTAAAAATATTTACGAACGTGTTTCTATAATTGAAATACCTGGCTACTGTATAAGTACATGACCAAATAAATATTATTAATAATAATAATATACATCATGTTTCGTATTTCTTTATCTGTTTTGTTTTAGTATGTATATGATGAAGGCATAGCCCATGGCGACATGCCATGAAGGTATACATGCAACTTGGCGTATCATATTTCTATACGAATCGCGTTTTAAAATGTACTCAATTGTATACCGTTGTTTTAAACCATTACTATATCATATATATATATATATTTAGGTAAACCAATATATAGTTATAAAAAGTACACGATTCTATTGTTTTTAAAATTGAATACATACAGATAGTTTATTATAATGGTTTTTTAATGTCTTCTTAAATCCATCATCAAGTATCTATACAATATATTAAATTTCTAAAATTAGTTATTTTAAATGCGTCTCATTTAATCAGAGAACATTTAGGTAAAGTGTATACTAATATAAACCTACACAATATTATTGTTATATATCAAAACAGCTAATAAACACAAATATATATATCCTTAATCGATTTCTTAAAAAGATTATAATACTTCATATTATAAATGCACTTAAATTGTACCTATATATAGGAAAATAAACAAACTCCATTTTATCGTATAATTATATGAAAAATGGACCACATTAAGAACATTTATCATTTTGTTTTGTTCACAACATTACTTACATGAAGTAAAAACTTAAAAGATAACGTTTTGTAATGTTTACCTCCAAATAATTTAAACGACCTACAGACTCTTTTTCAGGTTTTTTGTCGATGTGTATATTATTATAAACAATAAATGTTTAATATATTATACAGCGCATATCATAAATGTCCATTTTTAAGACAACAAAAATATCCCACTCACAAATATAATATAAATTTGTCGATAACGCGTTATCTTTTGCCACCGAGAGTAAATAAAATATTGTCGCTCTGTGATGAATAATATTGTATGTTTATATATTTCATGTTTATCGAATTTGATAAGCAGCATCATTAAGTGATATACATAAATTTAAACCTGCAGGGAATTATTTGTTGTATAAATTCGTATATGATTTTTATTTTCCATTATATTATATTTATATATACATACGTTATCTCTATGAGACTTTAAAATGCGACATAGATTAACAAACAAAACGACATGTCACGAATAAATCACATTTTTAAACATTCTATTACTATTGGGCCTTTTTCAACATAATACTCCAGACTGAATAAAAAAAGATTAATGAATATAAATTTAAATAATTAATTGATTACTGTAATAACGCAAAAACATTTTCGGCAGTTCAATTATTTAAATTCCATGTAGATAAATACACAAACTTAATATATAAAAATATGAGCAAAAATAAAATTTAAAAATTTAATTGATTTTACATAGTACATTTCTACATTAGTAGGTACCTAGGTAAATCTTGCTATGGTGTGTGCGAATAGAAAATGATTATGTATCGACATTCTATTATAAATTAAAATTATTTTACGATTAAAAAAATAACAATATGATTGTTGTACGAATAGTATACATATATTTACCAGAAAGTTAAAACGAAACAAACACTATTTATTTCGACCTATAATTATTATATTATTGACATTGACATTTCAACGTTTCGCAGAGTACAAATACTGACGTAATATCTAACGTTCGAGACATGTCGACGTCGTCTTTATGTATTATTATAAATACACGCACGAGATGAAAGTAATGCAATATTGCTGTTGACCGCCACGTGTACGCAGTAAGAAATATACGCAAACTTGCACGATATATTACAGTGTAGTGTGCAAAAAGACGACGAGTACATGTATAAATTATACAGATATACCAAACCTAACCTGGCTACTTAATAAATTTATTCCTATACCTACTTATAATAATTAAATGTCATGTCGCACCAGCGCGTGTCGATCAAAGCCTTTTTTTTGTATACGTTACATTTTGGTTTGTAAGTAATATTATATGTGGTGTTAAGAACAGATAGATTTTTTTCGTTTTACCTACTTTTCTATAATTAGGTAATTATTTTTATGATTAATTATTGATGGGACAATGAAGTGTGATTAATGTGAATTTAAAATTATACAATTAATTAAAACCTTAATAATGGGCGTGTAAAACTAAACGAATTAAAATAATAATTACCCAAATTATAATATACCAATTTACCTAAAAAAACCATGATTTTGTAAATATTAATGTAAATTCTTAAATATACATTTTCAAAGGTTAAAAACTGATATGCCCTCTTGTATAAGTGTACACGCCGTATACGTATCGTATAATTCACAAAATGATTCTATTAAATAGATAAACGCACTCATTTTATGGATACGTTTTAACATTAATGAAGATGTTTTTTTAAACAAAACCTGTAAGTCATTAAGAAACAGTATTTATGAAAGAATAATACATTTTATTAGTACTTACTATTATTATATTATTATAGTTTTTACTAGTTCGGTAATGACAGCATTGCTTTAACTGCATGTTCTAAAATAGAACACTATTTTTCTGATAAATACGATTTAATTATTGTAAAATGTGAATTTCTTATTTCGAAAAGTTCATTTGTCATATTTTAACTAAAGGAAAGTGCCTATTTCAAGGTTAGATGCTAGTGAAGTGTTTACCACTCAACATTATATCTATAAACTCTAATTACTTAATACTATACTTAACCAATTAACCCTGTATAACAATGCATCTCCATTATAATAATATTACTTGTAAACATAAATAATTATAATCTCTCAATTCCCATCTCAACGATCGCGCGGGTATTATATACGTATTATTAATTATTATCGCATCATTGCTGATGAAAAGTGAATAATCTCTACCGGCAACAATTATAATACGCATTGTACTATTATTTATATGATATAGAGGTACGTACCTCTATCGGACATTAACTGTAGCGGTTTACAAGTCGGCAGGTAGGTATTACGCACGCACGTTCGCAGACATCATATTACCGCGACGAGTACAATATTATACACTGTATAGCAATCGGTGGCGGCACGGTGCACGTGAGTCATCTCATATACGACAAACCTATATATATATATATATATATTTTTATATATATTTATATATATTTATATGTGTGTGTGTGTGTGTGTGTGTAATGTATTGTTATAATGTGTAAGAACTGGTATCGTCTTCGGCACACTATTATCGACAATATGCTTTAATACCGTTTTTCTGTTGTATAAAATAATAAAATAAATAAAAGAATAAGAAAAAAAAATATACCAATAACACACACACACATATATATATATATATATATAGATATTTTTCATCTCTTCGTGTAACGTGCGCGAGCGTGTGCAGTGTGTGCGGCACAAAAGACATCGTTTCCCTCTCACAGATACCCCCCGCCGCGGGCGCGCGCTTGTGTGTTTGTGTGTGTGTGTGTGTACGCGAGTTCGATAAATCGTGGTACCTAACCGAAAAATCGAAAGGCTATAATATGTATTGTATATACCTATATAAACTTCTGCGGGTATAATATAACATTTTAATATTGTACATTGTAAACCTAAATACAGATTGTGTAGTATAATAGTAAATGTTTAAGAAAA